ATGGCGGGGATCATTAATGCTGAGCGATACATGAGTGATTTTGAGTTTGAGTGCTGATGAGTGAGAGTGATGCTGAACGATGCTGAGTGATGCTGAGCGATAGCGGCTGAACGATGCTGAGTGATGCTGAGCGATGCTGAGCGATACATGAGTGATTTTGAGTGATCTGAGTGAGCTGAGGATGCTGAGATGCTGAGTGATTTTGAGTGATGCTGAGCGATTGAGCGATGGTGATGAGCTGATGAGTGATTTTGAGTGATGGTGAGGGATGCTGAACGATGCTGAGTGATTTTTGAGTGAGCCTGATGATGCTGAGCGATACATGAGTGATTTTGAGTGATGGTGAGGGATGCTGAACGATGCTGAGTGATTTTGAGTGATGCTGAGCCATGATGCTGAACGATGCTGAGTGATTTTGAGTGATGCTGAGCGATGCTGAGGCGATACATCTTGCTGATGATTTTGATGCTGAGCGAGACTGATGATAGTGAGATGCTGAGCGATTGAGTGATTTTGAGTGATGCGGATGCTGAGCGATACTGAGTGATTTTGAGTGATGGTGAGGATGCTGAACGATGCTGAGTGATTTTGAGTGTGAATGCTGAGCGATACATGAGTGATTTTGAGTGATGCTGAGCGATGCTGAGCGATACATTGAGTGATTTTGAGTGATGTTGCTGAGATGCTGAGTGATGCTGAGCGATACATGAGTGATTTTTGAGTGATGCTGAGGGATGCTGAACGATGCTGAGTGATTTGAAGTGAATGTTGAGCGATACATGAGTGATTTTGAGTGATGGTGAGGGATGCTGAGCGATACATGAGTGATTTTGAGTGATGCTGAGGATGCTGAACGATGCTGAGTGATTTTGAGTGATGCTGAGCGATACTGAGTGATTTTTTGAGTGATGGTGAGGGATGCTGAACGATGCTGAGTGATTTTTGAGTGATGGTGAGGGATGCTGAGCGATACATGAGTGATTTTGAGTGATGCTGAGCGATGCTGAGCGATAATGAGTGATTTTGGAGTGATGGTGAGGGATGCTGAACGATGCTGAGTGATTTTGAGTGATGCTGAGCGATGCTGAGCGATACATGAGTGATTTTGAGTGATGCTGAGCGATGCTGAGCGATACATGAGTGATTTTGAGTGATGGTGAGGGATGCTGAACGATGCTGAGGTGATTTTGAGTGATGCTGAGCGATGCTGAGCGATGCAATGAGTGATTATGAGCGATGCTGAGTGATGCATGAGTGCGATGCTGAGTGATGCTGACTGAGATTGAATGATGCTGACTGGTGGTGATTCTGGGGAAGGCTTTGGTGCTGATGCTGAGTGAGAGGGAGATTAGTGGAATAAGAAAGGACAGAGAGTGTCAAAGAGAAAGAGAAACAGATCCGCATCATGATCCGGATCACCACCAAAATGTGATGGCATTTAAGTCAAGACACACTTCTGGCAAAAATCTGTTCAGAACTTTTTGAGTTATCCTGCTAGCAAACAAACAAACTAACTATCCAGTGCTACCAGAAACATAGCTTCTTTGGCTGAGGAAATAATAACAACAATAATGATAATAATAATGATGATAATAACAATAACAATAATGATAAATAGAGGCCCTCAGAGAGCGCAAACCTCCACCAAAGCGGATAATAAAGGTAATGACAATAGTTCCCCTTATCCTTATCATTACCCCGATTGCCTTGGGGAAGCCGGATAATGAACCGGATCGCCATCAATTCAATGGCATCTAAGTTAGGCTAGGACACACCTGTAAAAAAAAAAAAAAAAAAAATATATATATAATTATATTTTTGAGTTATCCTGTTAACCAGCGAACAAACAAACAAACAGAAGAACAAAGTAAGCGGAGGTAATAATATCAAACATGATAACAATAAAACAAAAATGATGATAATAACAATAATAACAATGACAATAGTAATGACAACAATAATGCTATTAATAATAATGATAGATAATCATAATCATAATCATAATAATAGATAATAAATAATAATAACGCTAAAATATAATAATAAACGAAAATAAATAATAATGTAACAATAATAATAGTATTTTAACGATAATGATAACAATAATCACAGCATTAATAATAACACTAAGAATAACAGTAGTGATGATAATAATAACAATAGCAATAAAACAATGATATTCACCAAAAGGGGAAACAATAAGAACAAATTAGTGTTGAAGACATTACTAAACATATCGATGGGCAGAGAGACAAATATAGCTCTTAATGACAATATGTGACCCGGATTTAACAGTGAGTCACCCACGCTCTGGCTGGTATGGTGTATGGTGCATTTCTGTGGCGAGAGCTTTGGCACTATACTCGTGGCGTTCCTGGATAGATGAGGAAGGAGAGGAGGAGGAGGAGGAGGGGTGGTGGCGTGTGTGAAGGAAGATGATACTTTTATTTCTTTCTCTCCTCGCTCTCGCTCTCTCTTCTCTCTCTCTCCTCTCTCTCTC